ACAAGGTGTATAGGGTACTGAGTTTTGATATCACAGTCTTACTACATTAAAGGGGGGGGGGGACACTCAGTTTCAGTCAATCTCATGTTAAGCTTGAGTACCTATAGAGTAATATTGCAACAGTAACAGTGTGACCGGGGACAGGTCGAGACAGAGCTGCACTTTCTAACCTCATGCCCCAAATATAATACACAAAGACAAAAACACTTCCCAAATATACCCTGAATTCGAATCCATATCAGACACACAGAAAATCCCATATTTACTAGGAGAAATGTCCAAATGTGAGATAATTGCTGCAAAATATGTCTCCTCATGCCATGAAATGAGGACAACCAGTGGAACCTCAGATGGATAAATAATTGTACAAATGTTCAAATAATTATTATTTTGATTGTTTGATATTTTAGTAATCGTTTTATTTTATTTTTTTATTGTTCACTTTTATTTATCTATATGTTTGTATATGTCTATTGCTTTGGCAATATTGTGCTATTGTACACATTCATGCCAATAAAGCTAATTTGAATTGAACTATTGCATCCATCATATCTCCAAAAAGTCTTTAGTTTTATTATATTTACAAAAGAAAGATAGGCTGTACCGAGTCTTTCTGGAAAAAGCCGAGCGGGTGGAGGCGTGCCGTTTGGGCGGAGCTAAATAATCAAGAGCGCGCGAAGTTTTAGAACATTTGTGTGTCTACTCGTGGTTTATGAAGACATGATTTGGTTTTACAATAAACAAACAGACACCTAGCCACCTAAACAAATGTATTTAAACAAACACACAACATATATCGCATGCTCCACAGATACATTAACTATTCGTGATCATGTTGTTTAGCCTACTTGCTGTGCTTAAGTTACACGCCGATAGACACACAGATATTTGAAGCAGTTCTAGGTTCTACTCACCGCCTGCGGTTCCAATGCAAGACCGATAACCTTTAGTGTTGGGACTGCTCCATCCTTGAGAACTAAACGATTAGCAAATCCGGCTTCGAACTGGGCCTTGTTTATAAAAAAAATCATCCTCGAAATGCATGGAACAAACAAGAACACTTGCACAACTGTGTTGATGTTCTGGAAAAACAAACTCCATCCACTGGTCCCTTAACGCTTGATTCTTTGGGAATCTGTGCAGTGTTGTCTTGCCTTGGCAACCGAAAACACACTTCTTTGGTGACATATTGCAGCGCAGCCGATGCACAGCGCTTTGATGGGCACAGGTTACGGCTATCGCTCTACAGCTGCGCGCGCGCCCTTCCGAGAGAAGTGCCCTTAGGACCGTATAAGGAAATTCCGGCGCATCTGACGTCATACGCGCCCATACTCGAAAAAAACTTTACGAAACTTGTGACAACCAGGAAGGAGTATTTTGAGAACAGAAATACTCAATCAAACGTACAACTTAATTTTTGAAACTTTGTCCATGTTTAGCATGGAAATCCAACTCTTTAACAGTGTAAAAAACTCACTATGCATGAAATAGCATGAATCATCAAAAGAACTGAAGTGGCATAAGATGAGACTGGTAAGAGACAAAGTCTAAATTATAAGGGTTACCTAAGAGGGATTGACTCATGATGGTCAAGGGAACACTGTGGTGACTAGACCGGGGGATACTAGTCTGGTGGGTTTAGATAATTCACAGTGCTGTAGTGGAGGAGACCCCGAGGGTCTGGATGATCAAAAACTGTGAGCAAGTGCTCTCCTTTTTCTATTGAGGTGAAAATCTCAGACTGAAGTTATATAAGTGCACAGGGGGAAAAAAAACACAGAAAATAGGAAATCACAGGAACTCTCAGAGTATAATGCGCAAAAAAAAAATGTTTTGATAAACCGGTGTTTAGTCTGAGGAAAAAAGCATATGGGAGTTTTTTTTTGAAGGGTACTGAAGAAGAATTAATTAAATACCATGATTTCCCTGAGAAGGGAACTTTAAGTGTCACTAGGCTGACAGCGGTGCGAGACTCGATAGAAGAGGGGAGTGAGGAACAAAAAGGTTGTGTGAGATATGTGTGTGTGGATTGTAAGAAAACAACCATGTGCTGGTTGAATGAGGCAGAGCGAAGAGAGAGGAACAAAATGCAAAAAGATCTAGCGTATGGGAAAGTAGGGAAGGATGAGAAAAACCCACTGATGAGAAAACACCTATTGCACCAACACCTATTAACCCTTTTCCTTTTCTGAGCACTGGGAAAGACACAACTAAAAGCTTATTGAATAAACTACTCTGACCAGCTCTAATTCAACAAGTGCTATTATAACAGCAAAGTCAATGGAAAATTACTACAACAACATGAAGTAAAAACCTTTATTAATCTTAGTCAGGACGATTCTAAGGGCCCACGCACTTTTGCTCAAATAAGAGTTCATTTACATCACATTTACATTTATTTATATAGCAGTCTTTTATCCAAAGTGACTTATAAATGTGGAATACAAATGATAAAGTACAGGCTCGAACACAGAGACACAGTCAGTCTCTTGAACTTGATGAGCAGCGACTGGAAGCCAGTTAAGAGATCAATACATAGAACTACTGTACATTCATAAGAAATAACTATTGCTCTTATATGTATATTAAGGCAATATATAGGCCATTATTACCACAACATTGCAAGATTTTAAACATTTCAATTTAATTGAAAACTACATTAAAGATATAAATAAATTCAAAATAATCGTAAAAATATATGACACAGATGTTTCATGCTTTGCAAAGTGATTGTCACTTTGTTTTATCATGAACCGAGTCATTTACAAATCCTCTTAATAATGAATCATCAGGTTTACGGTCCAGGATCTTCACCATATTTCAAATCGCTTGTCTCCGATGAACTGCTTTCTGTCACTGACTTTGTTTCCGAACAGCCTGAAAACACAAAATTCACCACGATATGATATAAAGTCATGTGATGTGAAAAAAAGTCAGGACCTTCAGTCAAAAAGTAAAAGTATTCATCAAAGTATTTCATTAAATTATATTTGGCTAAGCTGTGCGCAAATATTCTAAACTGAACCACTGACATTTATGTATATGATAAGTAATTTTAAATATGCACTTTTATATACCAAAAATACAGGCTTTCTTAATCATAATAAATGCTTCAAGAAATGCTTATCATGTGGCCCTTCAACAATGTGGATCTAAAACTAGCATTGCTTGCATTATTTTAACTTGTAATTTAACAATTCATTTAATCAGATTACAGAAAACAGATATGTCTTTATAACGTAAAAATCGAATGAATTATGTTGTTTTTTTAGTTAAATCACTAAAACTACTTTGTTTCATTAATAAATGATGTGGGTTAGAGGGTTAATAAACCTACAGAAATGAAACACAGCTCACACACACTCACCGCACAGTCTGGATATTGCTGTGACTGGAGACGACGCTGTGGATTCTCTCTGCTGATTCATCTGTGATATTATTGTGACTCACACTATAAGAAGAAATGAGACAGAAACAATAAAATAACAGAAGTAAACATGTGTTTAGTGTTTGTCTATTGCTGTTGTGTCTCTGTAACTCACTCCAGAGTCTGAGTTTTGTGCAGATGTGGCATCAGCGGCTTCATGCAGTGATCCGTGAGTTTGCAGTGACTGAGATCCAGTTCTTTCAGCCCTTCAGAATATTCCAGAAACAGCGCCAGCTGTTCACAAGCGCTCTGGTCCATCTGAGTGTGACTGAGGTCCATCTCTCCTCCCAAGGCCTGTGAAAGAGCCTCAGTCCTCCTCGAAGAGCCTCTCTCAGTTCCATCTTTACTGATACAAGCCAGAAACTGCAGCAGCAAAGCTTTACTGCAACTGACGAGAGGAAGAACAACACAATGATAATATACAGGGAGTTTATATGCAGATAAATAATTGGACTGTGTCGTATCAGTAATGAAAGGGATCTGTCATGTTTCTCACCTCAGCTGGACTCGAGGCAGGATTGGCCAAAGTTGTTTCAGGGCCGTATCAGAGATCTTACAGTCCTGTAAAACCAACTTCACAACACTTTGGGTTTTCTGAAGCACAGATGAGATTATTTTACAGTCTTCATCAGTAAGTATCAAATGTTGTTGATTTTCCAGTGTGTCTGTTAAATCCAGAGCCGAGTCGCAGGAGAAGTCCAGTGTGTTGTGAAGAGCAGAGAGCAGAACAGATGCTGTTTCCTGCTGGAGATCAGAGGAACTGCAGCGATGAAGCAGCTTCAGCAGCAGCCGCCTGTCAACACTAACACACACACACACACACACTGTTAACAGAGAGATTCTTGAGCAAAACAACAGCTGTTATAATATCAGTGCTGCTAAATCAGCTAACCTGAGTGGTGTGACTCTGCTGAGCAAAGGCAGAAAGCTCTCCAGCTCCTCCTCTGGTATGGAGGTCCAGAGCAGATTGAGTTTAACAGTGTTGCAGTTCTCGAGAGTGAAGCGCAGGGCAGCGCAGTGAACAGAGTCCAACACTCTGCCGCTCAGGTTGATGTCATTTCCTGCTGAACTCATCAGACTGGACACATACTGAGGAGAGCAAATCTCATAAATCTCCATAATGATGGACAGAGTAAAGCTGGGGCTCAACCTGTGGAGAATAAGATCACTCAATGAAATCAACTTGAATTTAAGGCACTTAATGAATACAAATCCCCAAACTTAGGAGTAAACTACATGCAACTACAATAACAGTCTACACTGTCGAGCCAAAAACGAGCGTGCTATTGTGTGCCAGGGTGTGATCAGGACTCATCTGGGCTTCCTATTGGCCAACAGCCAGGGGTTTTGGCCCACCGAATACCTTGGTCCAAAGTGGGTCAACTGGGACTTGAGGAGTGTCCATGAATAAAGGCAGATTTTAGGAGACAGTCAGCACCGCTGCTCATTCCGCATGTATTATATCAGGCTACTGGCTAACTTCAATGTTTCAGACATTTTAAAAAATTTTCACCTCATTAAATTTTCAGTATCATTGATGTGCACTCCTGACACAAATTAATAAATTCCTGTCACTGCAACATATTTTGACAGTGGAATAGCAGCTAGAGACTCCATAGATGCAAATGAGCTGTTGCAGCCATGATATTTATTTGTGGGAAAAGCAGGATGTCATGGGTCTGTTCATATAGTTTAGTTTTGAAAGAAATATATGTTGAACTTTCTTTCAACTTATATATATATATATAAACAAAGTCAACATTTGTAAATTAATAGTTTTATATTTCTCCATCGTTTTTAATTGGATTATGCTGTTTTGCAATGCTTCATGGGATTGTCATTCTTTCCCTCAATTTTCCCTCAGATTTTCAAAAAAATGTTGTTGATCAAATTAAAGTTTGTAGTGTTGTGATTCACCTCGTTGATGATTGGCTTGGTTCATGCCTTTTAACTCTTTAACAATTTTTTTTTAATCCCTATGGGAAAAATGAAAGAAAAAAAAATACTTCCGAAACCAGCGCTTCTGAAATAGAGGGTGGCCACTGTCGCACTCTATAGCCCCTTCACTGTTATTTTTCTCATAAAAATATGATTACATGTAGAATTTTAAACCTAATTTCTAGCAAGAAATGTTTCTTGACATCACAGGCTTGACAATGGTAAATACCCACATTTGTGATCTTGGCCACTTGTGGGTGTAAGCATGCAACAGTAAGTTAGTCTGCAACATTTTCCCTTTTAAAAATGCCAAAGCTCAGTACACTTAACCGTACGTTCACACCGCCGCCGGCGAAAGCGGCAAAATTCGCTCTCGCCGCCCTGTCAGCGACGCCGTGGAAAGATTCGTGGACGCTCTGATGCTCTGACGTAGATCGAATGCTTGGTCTTTTTTAAAACTTTATTTAAAGGGACCGCGAAGCAAACAAGCATGTCGATCGTTATGTTTGCAGAAAATGTATCGATGGAAAGAACTTAATTATAGTGACATGTTTGCTAACGAAATAAACAAATTAAAAGCCATTTGTTTGGTGTGGCTTTTGTGTTCATGGTTAAATGCTATTCTAATTTGCATTCCCGCTGAAAAACAAGTGTTCTAGCACGAATATCTTGCCTATAAATAGTGTTGCGCGCCTTCTTATGAAATTCAAATGATCAACCTCTCCTCTATTTTGCTTGGGAACTAATGTGGTCGGAACCTTTGTTACTTGACTGCGTTCTCTGGAATCCTCTCAAACGGAGCACATCTACATTCCGATTGGTTGCCGCCGGCTGCCGCCGAACCGCGTCATAGCTCATTTCCCTAAAGTTGAGCTGATTTCAACTTCTTTTCGCCGCTCCTCGCCGCTCTCACCGTCCAAGACGCGCCGCGCCGCCCTCGCCGGAGCTCGCCGCCGGCTCTCATTGAAAATGAATGACTTCCGGCCACTTTGACGCTCTCGCCGCCGGCGGTGTGAACGCACAGTAAGGGTTGTATCAGCGATTTCAGGCCCAAACATAAATGATCACATTCATCTAATCTTTCCTAACGATCCGCTAGCTGCCCGCCCCATAAGCAGGCCGTCAAAAAAATGCGTCTCTGTAGGCAGCCTAGGCTCTGAGATCTGAGATCTTATAAGGTGACTGGTGGATGGATTCCATTCACATTGCACAGACGCAACTAATCGAGAATCAAATTCATTGTCAATTATTTTCATTATCGATTATCTGTTGCAGCCCTAATTGAGTGGACTCTTGTACCTTTTCCACTGGATTCTCTCTAACCAAGGTAATAGTTCTCTGATGTTTTCACGAGGTAATTTGCTCTTGCTTAAGTCCAACTTGAAGTTTTGCACTTGATGTTGCAGCAGGTAATTAATCACTTCCCAGGTCAGTGAGCAGCAAGTCAAATCCTTTGACACCTTCTTCAGGAAAGAGTGTGTCAGTTCATTATCCTGTGCTTCATACACCAGCGAAACCAGCCGCTGAAGAGTCTCTTTAGAGAACCTGAACACACACACACAGAACAGGTTAAACCGGTTGATTTATTCACAGAAAATGGACCAACTTGCTGAACACAGACCTGATAGTCCGGGGTTCCTGGAGAAACAACAGAGCCGTGAGAGACAGAGCCTCTGATTCACACTCAGTAAGATCCAAACACTGAACAGAAAACAGTTTCAGGAGAGACGTCAAGCTGCTCATGATATGAGAGAGATTTCGCTTTGAGTCTTTTGTGAGCGGTGAAAACTCCTCTATCAGTGGAAAAGGACCATTCAATGATCTCAGCGCTCTGAACATCTTCACTACCAGTTCGTCTTCCACACTGTCAAAAACAAAATCAGAGATCATGAGAAACATTCAAACAGTAGATTTCAGAATGTGATGACAGATGATGGTCAGTTCTAGCCTGGTTAAAACCAGACCATTCTCAGTTGTAACTGAGTTATGGTCTGGCAAAGCGTCATAGACAAATCATTTCCAGAGGGGCGTCACCAACGGACGTCGCGGATAGACCTAAACCCAATCAGAGCGATGAAGGAGATGACGTTTGCAGAGCGGCAGAAACATCTCCGAGTGTTGTTCTTTGCTCGGTTTTTAACAAAAAGGAAACGTTCAAATCGCTTAAAACACACGCGATAGCTGATTCGAACGAGTGATGTTCGACGGCGGCATCCATCTTTGTAATGTAGGCTACAAAATCTGCTTCAAAATCCCAGCGCTGTCGTCATCGTGTAAAGCCCGCCCCAACGTTTCTGATTGGTGCCTCAATTTCGGCGGATTGGAAATGAGCTTGAATGAGCTCTTTGCCAGACTAACTTTCAGAGCAAATCTAAATTTGCCAGAAGTTGTCTGGGTTTTCCCAGGCTAGGTCAGTTCATCTCAAGAGGTCCAATAATTGAAAAATTGGTTGCTGGACCAAATATTTTATTTTTAGTGATTACCTATATGGATTTGTATTGTAAAACCACTAGTTATTTTATTTTATTGGTTCAACCACAGTGGACATCTTTGTGTTATGGCGCATGAGAAATTTGGGTCTAGGGCACATTACAAGGTACGTATAGAAATATTTTGCATATTCTTGTTTCTTAGACTTAAAGCCATAAGTAATGAACAAGATTTCTCAAAGTTCTACTATTAAGGTCAATTTTAAATAAATATTCAGCGGGTTTCGGAGCTGAAAGTCTACTTATATTACATGTTCAATTCTCAAAATGAATTTACGATAATTTACAGTAATTGTTAAGTAGATCAGTGTTTGTCCCAAGGACCTTTGGCAAGCTGAGATATTAGGATTTCTGAATGTTTTCAGGAGGATTTCATGAGCGCCATGGTCAAAAGTATGGACAGTGTGGGCAAAGGCGAGTGGACAAACAGAAGCACATACATTGTGATCAACCTTAGGAACTAATAATATAATTGTGGCAAGCAGGAAGAGGGCAAGGGCCGTGAGAGAGCAGCACGAGGCCGGTGGCGTGATTGATAATGAGCGACACCTGCGCGACGCAAGGGTCTCGTTTCTCTCACGGAGGAGCTGAAGAATAAAGGAGGAGCGACGACAGTGGAGATCGAAAGAGGAACAGGCTTGAACCTGTGTTTTGTTTTGTTTGTGTTTTAATATGTGACAGCAGTCGTCCGTGAGGGGCTGCTGTCTTTTACTTTCATTTTGTATTTGTTTATTTTATTATTAAATTGTTGAATGTTCGCCGGTTCCAAATAATCTACAAACAATGAAGCAGCAAACTCTGCAAAAAACAAAATGTATGTATCTGCTAATACTTTTATCCATTGCTGTATAACCCAAAACATACAAATATGGCCGCTGTGGTTAAACCAAAAAAGAAAAAAAAGAAAAAGGTAGATTAAAAACAGTGAAGGAGCCTATGTTGGACAACTTGATATTTATTAAACTATGATGCAAAAAGTTTGGATGTAGATAATGTATCTCCAACCTCAGTTTGTGCAGGTGTGTGAGGTGTTTGAAGAGCAGTTTGAGTCCTCTGAGAGAGATGGCGTGTGTCTTCAGAGTCAGGTTTAGTTTCGAGGGCGAACGGCCCAGAACTCTCCCCACAGATCTGCAGGAGCTGCTGGGTAACTCTCCACTCAGAGTAACAGTGAAGTCTAAAGCCCGGAGCAGAGGAGTCACCTGATCTGCCTTCACTCTCGGCCCGAACACTTTACATAGTGACGGGATGAACCGCTCAGCATTCCTACAGGACGAGGATTCAATGAATGAAAATGGTTATACAGGAGAAACTCGAAAAATATGAATATCGTGCAAAAGTTCATTTTTTTAAGAAATTCAACTTAAAAGGTGTAACTAATATATTATATAGACTCATTACATGATAAGTGAAATTTTTCAAACCTTTATTTGTAATAATTTGGATGATTATGACTTACAGCTATGAAAACCTTTTCACAATATTCTAATTTTGAATTTGGGGGTTTCATAAGCTGTAAGCCATAATCATCAAAATTATAACAAATAAATACTTGAAATATCTCACTTTGCATGTAATGAGTCTTATATTAGTTTCACCCGTATATGTATTGTCATGGTAATATTCAAGCATAGTGGTTCTGTTTACAATATGTGGTTGAAAAATCATGTTTGTATTAAATGGTATTTTAAAAGTATGTAACACAGACCTGAGTTGTGAGATGTAGGGCAGACACTGGAGGAATCCCCTCACTTCACTCTCTTCATTTGTCCAGTCTCTCAGCTCTACTGGTTTCTTCTCTGTCTGCAGTTTCAGCACTTCTAGGAGGATGGAGCTCTTTCTCTCTGAGAGGTCTATGATCCAGACTGCAGGAGCTGACTGATAAACTGGCTGTAATGCTGGAAGGACACTCCTGCCTGTTTGAGTCTCATAGTCCTTCACATGTGAACACAGATCCAGCAGGAAATCACACTGATCCTCAGTATCATAATAATTCTCCTCATAGGGGAAAGATGTGTAGCTGCACACAGATGTTAATAGTTCAGTGTAATTTTCTTCTGTATTTGCATCAAACTCTGATGCTGAAACAAACAGATTCAGCAGAAAATGTACAGTGGTTTCTTTTTTCCCATCGAAAATGCCATCAAATCTGTGGAGACACACACACATACGCATCACTTTAATGTCTAGTGTAGGATAATATAAAAAATAAAACAAATGACTCATTTAATCAGAGCACATACAATTTTTTTCACAATTCACATTAAACTATTCATTCAATAACAGTTTATATTTCATTTGTATTGGGTGAAATATTTATGTTGGTTAACATCTATATTTTGGATTCGAAATAAATGTGAAGCAAAGTTTCAGTAATTTAATTAAAATTAAAGTAATTTCCTTTAAACATAACTGGCATAAATTCAGTTGATGTAACTTCACTTGATGTTTCTACACTTCTACACTGTGTTGTATGTAGGCTTGCTGCGGTACTCTATGTTACTATTGTTCGGCCGCACACCGATAACATTACTTGTCCACCAAGGCAACAACTCTCACCTTACCATCCTTAGTTGTATGCTGACTGACATGATAGTAAACACTTAAAGCTCCAGTCCGTAACTTTTTTAAGTTAAAAATAATCCAAAATAATTATATTGAAAAAAACGTATTCTGCCAGTGGTCAAAACTATCTGCTTGCCATAGCTAGATTCAAAACGGTTAGCTTGTAATAATGATTTTAATTCCAGTGGTACTGGTGGGTTTCCGCGGGAAATTCGAGCATGTCTTTGCGTCATTACGTCACACCCGTACACATAAAGGAGTTTCGGCTAGCCGGCTATACTGCGCGTGACGAGATGTTTAGATGTATAGGCTTTTCTCGCAGCACTTTACATAATTAAACTTATGGCGGATCCAGAAAGATCCAAACAACAATCATCAGTGTCAACTGGAGATTCAGCAGTTATAAAACCCAAAAGACTTCGTACTTCGGATTTAAGGTGGCTAGAGAAAGAGAAAGAAACCGTCTCATGCGAACACAAGGATTTAAACATCGGCGGGGCTTTTGAAAAGTGCGTGAACTCCGTGTTTTGAAGGGGTTCAAAACGGAAGAAGAGACGGCTTTTTTCTGCTGAACAAGTAAGACATTTCAATAGTTCAATCGTGTAACAGTACGTTTTCTTAATTCACACAGTTATGGAGTTTCCTTTGTTGTGCCTTTCTCGTTTTGCTATTATTAGTCCAGTTGGGTAGTGCACATATTAAATAATACCGTTACCGAGGTGATAAAAGCACCACATTTTACATGAAGATTCTTTAGGACCTCCTGAATGATTTCAGCCTAGGAGCCCAGCTGAAATATTGAAATTTAGTGTCAAATCACTTAAAAAACAATATTCATGAAAAACGTTTTTTGTTTTTTTTTCCATCTCAAGTAAAACTTTCAGGATAATGGCCTTTTAAGACCACTGAATAAGCTTCCTTTTGTTAATTTGTGCTCAGGCCAGTAGATCTTCCAAATTATAAGTGTAAAACAGAGTGCCAATACACCTTATACCTAAAAAAAAATCAAAAAGCCCTGTATAATATAGGCAGAATTATTAAAAAAGGCAGCAAAAATGCTTAAATGTTAAGAGATCTTGGTTTTCTCTTTTATTTTTCAATTCAACTAGGTCATTCATAGCTATTCTACTAAGTTCATAGTTTGGTCATTAGTTTTATGTTAGGCTGCATCACATCACATTAACCCTTTCGCACGTACTGCACCTGTGTGATTAGAACGGTCAGTGTATGCACTGCTAAATTCAAATGTGCTTTCGCGCGTTGGCTGGCGCTGAGCCAGAGACAGGCGCGCTCAGAGCTGTCATATATCACAACTTTTCAGTGTTTTCAACCACATAATGTTTATTTTAGGTTTCAGACATTTAAGTACTAAAAAAAACAATACATTTAGAGTTTGTAAAATACACACTGATGTCAAAGGAAGAGGCAATAATAATCCTTTCCATAATTAGAAATGTTTTATTCATATCAGATACACATTGTGTAAGTGACTTTAAAGTTTACTCTATTCGTCTCCCAGTTCACCAGCCACTTACTTTTATGTATTTCGGGTGAAGTGGATGAATTCACGTGTTGTAAAATCCAACAGATCCGATTCTCTGAACTGCGTCTGCGGCACAAACTAACTTAGATGACAACGCCCATCGCGCATACAGCTCAACTAACGCGATCGTTATAAAGGTGTTTAAACAACAAAACACTTCCACTTGCATATATTTGACAATCGGAATATCAGATATTTCATGCCATATCTAACAAATGTGTGAATATTTTGAATAAAAAAGGAAAAATGACATAAAAGCAGATCATCATTCATTCTCTGTTGTTGCTGCGGTGTGTCACGTGACAAGCAATGGCGCGTCACCATGGAAACCATAAAGTGACACATTCAAAATAACGGTATAATAATAACTTTTATGCTTACATAACATTAGTTTCTGAAACTTCAACATGGAGCTGAACTGGGCTCTATGTATTATTTGCCAGAAAGACACATCCGAACCCCTGAGATGTACCTTGCAGACACCTGGGACAAGTGGTGATAAATCTCATGCCTATAGATCATTTCTTGCTAATGTCGAGCAATTCAGAGCGATTGACAATCTTCCAACTAAACTCTATTTTGGGAATGATGAAACTGCTACCAATTTTGCTTCACATTCTGCTTCTTGGCACAAATCTTGCCACCTAAAGTTTAACAATTCAAAGTTTATGAAAGCGACAAAGAAGAACATGCGGAATGCTGTTGAATCTGGATGGGGAAAGCCAATGAAACGCCAACGACTGGATGTTCGAAAGTGCTTCTTCTGTGAGGGTGGCAAAGATAAAGGTGCTCTCCATGAAGTATCAACATTTGATACTGACAAGAATATCCGAACCATGATCACTGAACTTAAGGACACAAGGCTTATGACAAGGATAATTGGAGGAGATTTAATTGCAATTGAGGCAAAATACCATTTACCATGCCTTGTAAAGCTGAGAAATTGCTACCGTGGACTCGCTAGTAAGAGCTACCAATGTCCAGAAAACATAGATGAAAATATGAATGAGTCTCGCGCTTTCATTGAACTTCAGGACTACATTGAAAAATGTGTTGATTCTGGAGTCCTTCTCTTTATGCTATCTGAGCTCCACTCTTTGTATGTAAATCGACTTCAGGAACTGGGTGTCAGTAAGCAAGTCAACAAAACCAGATTGAAAAATCATTTGCTTCAATGCTTTTCAGATGCACAAGAACAATTTGATGGAAGGAATACAGTTCTTGTTTTCAAGGAGGGCATGAGAAATATGCTAAGGGAAGCTCTGAGGAAGAGAGATTTTGATGAAGATGCTCTCATCCTGGCAAAAGCTGCGAAGATTATTAGAAATGACATATTCAACCATACAGGCTTCAAATTCACTGGCTCCTTCCCAGAAAGATGTCAAGAAACCTCACTTCCTTCAAGCTTAAAGTCTCTTATCTCGATGATAATGAATGGCTCCAACTTGAAAGATCAAGAAAAATGTGAGTCTCAGGCTTGCCTCACAATGGGACAAGGCATTCTTTATAACACAAAGAAAAGGGCAACACCCACTGCTAGGATGACCAGACACAGCCTTGAACGTGAACCACCACTCCCTATTTTAGGCCTTAATGTACATGTACAAACCAGAAGCAAGCAACTGGTCCAGCAATTAAACCAAATGGGTATTAGCATTTCATATGACAGAGTTATTCAAATTGAAGACTGGCTTGCTAAAGCCACATGTGAACGCTTTGAAGTTGATGGTGTTGTGGTTCCAGCTTGTCTCCGGAAAGGGCTCTTCACAGTTGGTGCCCTTGATAACCTTGACTATGACCCAAGTTCAACCACTTCTGTAGGCTCCTTTCATGGTACTGGAATCAGCATATTTCAGTTTCCAACTAAGGATGACTGTGGTGTACAGAGACCACCCATTATGATACCACCTTTTGAAAATAAAAATAAAGCTCTTCCTGACACTTTTGCCACTGTCCCCGCTGTAGCTCTGAAAAATACTTCTGTTTCAGTGCCAGAGTGTAATGTAGTTACAGCTATGGGTTTATTGGATAATGCTAGAGAAGAGGAAAACAGGTGGGTCAATCATGCACTGCCACTTCTAGAGAAGAGAGAACTAGACAGTGATGATGCAGTTGCATGGTCTGCATATCATGCTTCTATGCAACCATTGGTGGAAGACCCCCCAGCAAAATGTGCACTCCTTCCTCTGTTTTATGATAAATCTGCCACTCCAGCCATGATTAAACATGGCATGAATGTTCTTAGACAAGCTATTGAATTTATTAATCCTGGACAAATCCCAGTTACTACATTTGACCAGCCTCTTTTCGCTCTGGCAAAGTTAGTGCAATGGAAATGGCCAGACACACATAGTGAAAGAGTTCATGTAGTTATGCTAGGTGGATTACACACAGAAATGGCCCTCTGGAATACACTTGGCGACCTCTTAGATTGCTCTGGTTGGACAACAGCACTCACTGAAGCAGAAGTAGCATCTTCTGGAAAGGTTGACTCATTTCTGAAAGCAGCACACCTAACTCGCACCAGGCATGCCCACCAAGTCACTCTACTGTCACTTCACAATCTGCAGCAGGAAGCTTTTAGGCTTATTGCTGGCCCCAAAGATGAAGATACCTTTATCACTTGGAGAAATGACATGCTGAAGAAGAGTCCAACTTTCATGTATTGGGATCTAATACTAAGATATGAAACCCTCATTCTCATTTTTGTCAGAGCTCACAGAGAGAAGAACTTCCTTCTATATGTAGAAGTTTTAGAAGAACTCATCCCTCTATTTTTTTCCTTGGACCATACAAACTATGCAAGATGGGTGTCTGTCCACATCAGGGATATGAAGTCTTTGCCCAGTACCATCAAGGATGAGTTTGAAAAGCATTCACACTTGGTTCTCTCAAAGACATACAACAAGTTCTCTGCAATACCTTTCGACCAAGCTCATGAACAAGAGAATAAGATTGTGAAAGGTTGCGGTGGTGCAGTTGGTCTCACAGAAAACCCAAATGCCTTCAGACGATGGATGATCTCTGGACCAGAGTTGGGA